ATTAGGTGCTATTAAATTCCAGGGATTACTCCAGGTTAACTCTCTCCTTTCTGGGATTTCCTCAGCTTTTTTTTGGCCTTTTTCTTTACTCTTTTGTCCTGCAACGTCTCTCTCTGCAGACACTTTTTTTATATTTAATTCTAAAAGAGTCCTGTGAAATAGAACAGCATTGTCCAACCTATTTATCCTGCCAGAAACACGAAGGGGGATGAATGCCCACTTGTCATGGAGAGGGAACAGGAATAGGATCTGGAGTGAAAATCTCGACCTCAGGGTGTTTCACCTGGGCCCTGAGCTGAAAAGGAGCTGCTCCCCATCCAACACACGTTCCATTGTTATTCTCAAGTGCCATCTTTCTCCCGCAAGAGGCTCCTTGGGGAACTCGGGGGAAGGAAATTGGTTTGAGGAGCTGAGTGCCCTTGATGTCGATGGGTGAGAAGGATGCTCAGCCTCTGCAAAGGGAGCTCTGGACGAGGCTTTGACCTGGCTGGGAAGAGCTGGGATAATGAGGAGTTTCAGGGCAGGGTTTCCTGGTGGTGCTCCTGGTGTTTCCTTCACCTGTCAGGTCTCCTGGGTGAATCTTCTCAGCTTTTTGTCATGTGGAATTGTTGGTGGTCAGCCCAGGGGCTTGCAGGAGGGAATTATTCCATCTGGGAATTGAGGGAAATTGGAAGATTCCTGTGAGCAGCAGCATAAGGGGCGATGGGGAAGATGAAACAGGAAAGCCTGATAAATGTGATTGCCTGGCAAAAGATTTGGAGAATATGGAAACTATAAGTGAGATTGAAATGAAAGCAAGCTTTGAGATCCCTCAGTTACTGAACAACTGGAAAACAATGGTGTGGCTGGCTGAAGGTGATCCCCTTTTGATGGAACAACACCCTCTGCTTGCAGACAGCTCCAAGGGTCAGAGCAGACCTTGCCAGCTTGGCAGAAGGGGCCAAAGAGGAGTTTTTAGGGTTTAAAATGTAACACAGGATGGTAATGTAATGATTCTTATAGGCTGTATGGAAATGCTGTAGGATTTGTATCTTGTACTAGATTGGTTAGTGAGAATCAGAATAGTCAACACAGAAGAAGATTTATTGTGTTGTAATGGGAACTTCGCTCTTTTACCCTCTCATCCTCTCTCTCATCCTCTCTCCTCTTCTCTCGGGCCTGCTCTGAGCTGTGGCAGCTCCCAGCAGGGCCCTGCACTTGGCCCTTTGCAATAAACCCCAAATTCCATGACCAGAAGAAGATTTATTGTATTGTAACAGGAACATTGCTCACTCTCATCCTCTTTACCACTCTCTTGCCTTCTTTCTCTTTACCACTCTCTTACTTCTTTTGGGGCCTGCTCCGAGCTGTGGCTGGCAGCTCCCAGCAGGGCCCTGCACCCACCCAGGCCCTTTGCAATAAACCCCAAATTCCACGCCCTGGCTTCAAAAATCTCTCATCTCCATCCATCCCAACCATCCTACCCTGACGCTCCTACGAATTTAGAATTTGTTTCATTTCTGACATTTGGGCTACAAGGGAGGTGAGCCATGGGTGGAAACACACCCGGGGATCCACAGGGGTTTTCTGCACTCGGGTTTTAATGCACCAGCCCAAGGCAGAAGTCATGGATTGTTGACAATTAAACACTTAGCACATGAAGAGCTGGAGATAAGGACTTGGATGCGAGTTCTGTCATCAATAATTCACAGGACATTAGAGCCTCAATGTCAGGAGTTGTACCAAGCAAGCCCTGACAGGGTATTAATGAAGCTGCTCCAGCCATTACACGCAAATTGCTAATTTATTCATCATTTACCAGCGGTGGGGAGAGGGGGGAAAGGGAAACCTAAGGTGTGAACAAAGCTGCACATCCCTGAGCTGTGGATCTGTTTCATCCTTGGAGAACGAGCCCAAATTAAGAGGGAACATTTTTGGGTTTTCTGTGCTGATTAAAACTTCCCCATTTCTTCTCCTTGTGTTCAAGTGGGTCTGTTTTCATCAGAAAATGTAAAATTAAATAAAAATAAAATTGAGGGGGTGGCTTATTTTGCCCGGAAAGAGGCACCTGGACTGGTGCCTTAACTCTTTCTTTTTACTGTCTCATGTTGTCCTAATACAAATAGCCCAAATTATTACAACTCTAAGTATGGAAAAATAGAAGACAGTAGGGTCTGTTTTCATCAGAAAATGTAAAATTTAAAAAAAAATTTAAAATGAAGGGGGTGGCATTTATGCTGCTGAGTGAAAGCTCCCGTGGTTCAGCTCGGCTCCTCAAGTTTTCTGCCTAGGAATTGATGAAATTTTCCATTAGGGCATTGCAGGATTTTTAAGGCAGCAAAATCATGTCCAATTTTTGGTAGGAACGTGGGGATTTTGAGGCTCAGTCAGTGGCAGAAGGGGAGCTCCTGTCCGTGCTGCTTCAACTCCTGTAAGATCCAAGGATTTGGGGAAAAAACATCCCTGGAATTGTGTGGAGCTCCTGTGGACATTGCTCTGCTCACTCCCAGACCTGGCAGGGTTTCAAATGGACCCATCCTGGAGAATTATCAACACAAGGTGGCATAAATAACTGCACACTTCAGCTTTTACATTTGTTGGGAATAATAAATATGAATTCCTGCTCCAGTGCTCCCGGCTGCGATGCAGATGGGGTTAACTGAGATATGGGAGAGGTATTTTCAACATCACTTATGATAATTAAGTTCTGAATCTTGTTTGAGGGAGTTGTGTGTGCTGCTGTCCAACCCGGAATAAAAATAGTGATTAATGATGATATTTTTCATATGCAAATGAATATCTGATCTATAGGTAGCGACAAATTGTCATAACAGAACAAACCAAGCAAGGGTTTTTATTCAGAAGTGAATATTTATGCAGTGTGGGTGCAGATGCAGTCTGGATGCAGATATAGGGGAGGACAGGTTGGTTTCCATGGATTGTTTTGTGGGTTATTATTTATTTTTTGGAATGGAGTTGAACTCTTGGCCCATCCTGCATCCCAGGGTTTTTCCTGCTCCTTCAGAGGATCCTGAGGCTGTGACTTCACCTGGGATGGATTGCAGGGGCAAGCAGCAAGCCAAGAATTCAGAATTGGGATGGAAGGGCTGGAATCTGACCTTGAGATCTGTGCAATTTTAATTTTTGGTACACAGCGGGATCATCAGAGGAATCACCCCCAGAGCTGTGGAATGCTGAGCAGGGAGATCCTGGGCCACAGTGGGAAATATTTTAAATATTTAAAACTTAAATAACACCCAATGGTTGGCTCATGACTGACTTTATAAAGCACTGCCACCATCTTGGCAGCTGAAGTGGGATTTGGGCAGGGAGTTGTTCCCCAAATAACTGATGGGGGTGTTCAGCACAGGGAGGAATGGAAATGGCACAAATATCCAAGTTTTAGGAGCTGCTAAATCTGTTCAGAACAGGCCCGTGCTGCCCTCTGAGCAACCTGAGTGTGCTGGGGCCAGAAATGGTCCCTGTGGGATCCTGGCCCTGCCCTGAGCATTCAATTCCTTGGAGTTTCTGGACAAAGGGCTCCTCAGAACCAGCTCAGGGAGCTGCTGCTGCCCCTGCCCCTGTTCCACAGCCTCTGGCACCTTCCTGATGAACTGGGAATTAACCCAGCCCTGGCGAACTGGGAATGAAACCAGCCCTGGTGAACTGGGAATGGACCCAACCCTGG